GCGCAGGGCGAGCAACGCGCTCGCCGGGCCACCGCGCGGAGCTGCGCCAGCCGCCGCCGCAGGAAGCGCTGCTCGCGCGCCAGCTGCTCCTTGTGGCTCGAGTGCCGCTTCTCCCGCTCCTCCAGGCTCTGCAACCCGCCCCACATATCTATACACTTTAATACAAAAAATTAGGCAATAAAAGAGCCCGAGCCCGTCCGCGGAGGGACGGCCACCACTCGTACACTTCCGTGATGACCGAGAACTGGAGCTGGACGCGGGGTGGTGGGCGAGGGGCTCGGAGCGTGACGTTAACGGTTACCTTTATAAACCTTTTGGCTTTGGTGAGGAGGCCGAGCGTAGTGTGGCGCGCCGCCTCGGGCTCCAGCGGTACCATGCCCTTCAGCCGCTCCAGGCAGCTCCTCAGGTGCGCCCGTCTGAAACGAAATTATTTTATTTATTTTTCTTTGTCCTAAGTAGGACTTGATAAACTATTTTCGAATATGTAAGTAAAATTTGGTGTCACGCAAGCCTTACGTTACCAATATGCTGTGTTGTAGGCGTAGATGAACATCATTATATAATCACCTTTAGATGGCTATTTCATGAATTTACCAATTGTAACACTCGGCCACGACATATGGAGAAGGCAACGTTTTATTTATCAATAAAACAATGATAATACATTTATTACGATAAAAAATGTAAAAGAAAAGTTGATAAAATTGATTATTGAAGGTCAACGTCCTCCGCAATGTCAAGTCTGAGGGACGTAGAATTTTGACAAAAAACACTATTAATATGACAATTTCCATAGTGTTAAGATTCAATCGTGTTTAAGTAAAGTTGTTCAACATAGGTATATCCATTTATCACGTTAGGTTCGAAACAGGATCCACAAAAATCATGAAACGGCACAAGGAAGGGCAGGGTATGAGGTCACGCCAAGATATTTCCGAAATTATTGTCGAAAACTGTTAATTGTTTGAAATTCCTATTCTCCACAATGCATGTTGTACAAAACATATTTTATCTGACGCGCCAGCACATTTCATGTTGTCTTAAAAACCAAGACTCACCGAACGAAACGCAGAGTGCGCGCGCAAACTTATTAACAGCGAAAAATAAGCTTTATCTGTTCGGATTAGACCTTAAATGATGTTGTCATAACTTCATACAAATGAAAATTAGATTTGTCTCTATTTACTTTTATATTATAGATAGAGACACAGCAATCCAAATATGGATTAATATTTAGTAGTATTATAGTTTATTTATTTTTTCAGTTTGGAAAAACAAAACAAAGCAAATAACAAATGCAAAACTTTGTATAGTTGGATGGTATATGTGAATGTTTGTTTCCGCGCCTCAACGGATTTACATGAAATTTGGTACAAAAATCAAGGTTCCCATGAGACAGATTTGTTTTTGAAGGAAAACAAAAAGGAAAAAAAGACTAACAGTCTCTTTGTGCGAAAAAAATGTTCTTGTATAACTCTAACTCGAGAAATTTATTAATTTTTAAAGAAAAGTGTTATTGTTTGTTGAAAGTACCGTACGTGAGAACAGAGAAGTATGTCTGATATCGTTCGGAGTGTAATGAGTTCACGTTTTTACTTAGTACTTATTAAAATATACTGCGCATTAATAATCTAATAATATATCTTCTGCATCATGCATCATACAATAAAATTCCACAATTCATAGAAAAGTAAACAGATCAGTTCCTTCTAGCTATGGCATGGCGCCGGGCCCTCGTCGATGCAGCTTCCGCAAAGGGTTGTTGAGTCCGCGTCCATCCGTCAGCAGAGTGTCAACACAAGGCATGACGATGAGAGCGTCCTTTGTGAATGGAGGCGGGCGGGGCGCCGAGCGCGCTCTGCTGCGCCGCGGATCGATAGGGCCACGTGGCCGCCGCCTTTGTTCCCGCCGGGCGTCAGGCATCACGACGTCACGCAACACACACGCAACGTGACGGCAACAACACTGACACGCTTCAAAAGATGTCGATGAATTCGAGAAACTAAACGAGACTAACGGCCACAACACATGAGACAGAGACAATTCTTAGAAATATCAGCTAGGGATATAATCGACAGCAAAAGACGCTGTGAGAGCAAAGTATAAGCCGACTTTTTGTGGGTTTGACGGTTGAGTGGATTACGCATAGAAAAGGTAATATATTCTCTTTCTGTGCTTTCCCTATTCCATAGTTTAAAGGTAGGCGCAACGCATCTGCAAATGCGGACTCAGACGCGGAGCGGCTGCTTTGCTGTTTTGGCGAATTCAGGTGGAATATCGTTGGAATATGATTTCCACGTTCGACAAAGTGTCTGGTATGCCGCTAGGAATTCGCAATAACGGGTAGGTTCAGCGTAAGCGCCGGCCTACTAACGCGGTGATCACACAATAGTTCGTTCCGTAAGGAAGTCGTCGTGTCTTCCGATGCCTGCCCCCGCGCCGCCGTCCGCGCGGCTCGACCCGCGGCAAGGTAGCGTTAAGTTGTTTACTCCGAATCCAGGTAGCGGGCCCGCAGGCCGCGCTCTACGCTTGTGATTGCGGCTGAGTCACTGAGGAAGTTACATCGACGTGCCGCATAATTAGATAATATTGCATTAAAACACTAATTTGTTTCAGTTAAAACACTTTTTCTTACGCAACTACATATATATCATTAGTTGTTGCCCATTGTAAAAAATCCGTATTCAGTTTTCACAAAGTAACGTTTTCGGTTTACATAACCGTTTTAATTAGGTTTGAATTAAAATAAAAACGAGTTTTTTGAATATCTATGTTTTCTGGCCCAACCTACAGTACCATTATATTTTTGTCGCAGGCTAAACAGCTTCGAATTCGCGCAACGAAAAAGAAATGTTGGCGATAGCACTGCTGCGCTGGCGCGATAGGCGGCGGTCATCGACCCCGCGCGCGCCCACTTGCGGGCTAAGAATAGCTCGTGACGTGACGTGTTTACCACGCACCGCGCACCGCGCATCGCGCAAGGTTACGCGGCGCGGCGAACGCGCACTCTACCCGCGCGTCTTCGGCCACCACCTTGCCGATTGTAGTAGCGAGTCAGGAGGTGAAAGTGGTGGGATCAAAATCAAAGTGATCTAGGAGGACATGTCGGCCACGGGGACCAAGCGGCGGTGTACAATGGCCGAATACTATGGAGAGATAACAAGAAAGTAGAACTATAGTTGTAGGGGTCTATTAGCTCCACTAATACGACTAAAATGTTGAATAGGGTATGGTAATCTCCAGTATACGTCAAAAGTATAATTTTTTTTTGAATTTTTAACTTTAACGGCGGTTCTTAAGTGGCCGCCTCGCCTGTTCGTTTGCCACCTTCTACACTAAAATATGTAAAATATCCGCTTCTCACACAAATCCAATAAGACTTAGGAAGTTGCAGATTTCTGTTTGTATAATCCAATCATCTCAGTAAGTTCCCTTCGGAATTTGAAAAACGCTATTATAAACTTGTATTGATATTTGTTTTTCGTTTGTAGTGACATTTTTGACATCCTAAAAGTCTCGACATGTAAACATTCTAAAAGAACTTCAACAGTGGTAGAGGCCGTTTTAACATCTTCGCACGAATTGGCCGGTTCGCCCGGTGCAATACCACAACCATACAGAAGACAGGCGTCAGGTGGAAGCAATTCCGCGTTTTGTCTGACGAGTATGCGTCTCAGAGGCCTAATCTTAGTCCTCTTTCCCTTCCCACCCTTTTTCATATAAGTAAAGGATGGGAAGTGTAAGTGGATTTTCCGTATGCATGAAAAGAGAAAATATTGTCATATAATAGCATAAGTATAAGTGTCATACAATAGACATCCGCAATTGCACATGCGTTGTTTACCATTAATCGCCAGAGGAGAGGATGCACAGAAAGAAAATATTTTCCCTTCCTATGCATCCTCTCATCCGGAAAGTCCACTTCCAATTCCCATCCTTTCCTTATATGAAAAAAAGGTGAAAAGGAAAAGAGGACTAAAATTATCAATTTGGAAAATTTACCGCAGCGACACATTATGTGCCAACAACATCAAGCGTTTTCAAGTTAAAAACAACCCCGTTTTTTACCCCACTGACAAGAGGGTGATGTTTGTCGCGTTTATGTTTTTGTATGAATGTAAGTAACTTGCTTTGCGATGGCTTAGAGCCTGAACGTTTTAATTTTGAATAGTGGAGTGTTACTCTATTCCGGAGTTTCATAGGCAGTATTACAGAGCTACAAAGCGCAATCAGCGGACGTAGGAAATAAAATTCTAAATGACTGTAAAACAAGTTCGAATCTGACTCGCGTAGGGAACAGGTTGTCGGGTGCAGGGCGCAGGGCAGCGATTGAGTGGATATCCGCACGTTCATTTTGTCTACGTCCGCTGCGCCGGCGTCGCCTCGTCTGCTGCTCGCCGCGACTGCGACTACATCACGTAAACGACCCAATAAAATGATATAATGTAACATAGAACGCAGATTATTATTTGCACTACAATGCAAGCACCTTGTAAAAGAGCAGGCGCGTAGCAGGAGCAGCGCGATTTCGTTGTTATTTATAAATTGTCTACATCACGTAAGTCATGTATAAATTAGCACATATTGCTTGGCTCAAATGTAAAGGAACAGTGGTACCTCATTTAAAAATCTTACTAATAATATAAATGCGAATGTTTGAATGGATGGATGGATGGATGGACTTCTTTGAACGTATCTCCAAAACGGCTTCATTGATCTCGCTGAAATTTGGCATTCATATAGAAAATAGTCTGGAAAAACACATAGGCCAAATATTATGTTTTATTTAATTCTACGCGGACGGAGTCGTTGGGGACCGCTAGTATAAAGATACGCCACATGAAAACTGTTGTTAAGAGCCCTTAGGTTCATTTAATGTTGATTTGTGATGCGATGTTTTCTTTATCAAGTGTATAAACATTTGACATTGGTAGAGTCCACAGCTGCAGCAGTAGCTGCTGCACGAAGAGCCCGCTCGCCCGTGGAATACCACGACCACACAGAAGACGGACTTGAAATAGAAGTATTATACATATGTAAAATATTTCCACGTTTCGCCTAATTACTGTGTCCAATCACAATCCTCTCCCATTGGTAGTATAACATTAAATGCATAATGCAATGAAATGGTACGAGGTTTACAAGCCGCGCGCGCTGAGAAATCGCTGATTTTCGGACAAAGACAAAGATATGTGTGCGGGTGGAGACAGTCCATTGACAGACTTTGTGATCATGTTCCAAAGAGCCGGTCTCCGAACCGATGGGTCTCGACTCGTACGGTACGACTCTTATTTCAAATTATTATGTGCTATGTATTTAGATAATATTATCATGTGAAACTTTCAATCAACATATGTATGTATGCGTATGGCCAGATTTTAGAACCGGACAATTTCTGAATCTGGCCCGCTCTTTTGACCATCTCACGATAAGATTTATGCATGCCATGATCTCTTAAAGATGTTATTTTTTCGTCGGATGGTCGATTTCATTAAATGGTTACAAATTTTCTTGAAATAACCACCTCAATCTCATGTGTGAAGTTTTGGCACACCTCTTTTGTCTCATCCACATCAATAAATATTTAACACCTAACACGCACATACACACATATCGGCAAATTGTTACGAGAGCAGCGGCGACGTTAGAGTAGGGCGCGGGCGGGCGACCGCCTAGGGCTCGGTTGGGCGGCCGCCTAGGGCCTAGGGCGCTACACAAAAAAGGTCGCCGAAGGTTTGCAAATTACACACTTATAAATAAAAAAAAACCCGCCTGACTCTGGATCTAATCAAAACAGTGACCTTAATTTGAACTTAAACTGTTGTGTTATATGTAAGACTTTCTTCTTTCTGGTTGATTTTACTAAATGTTTTGTTTTACTTAAAATTTTAAAACATTATAACAAAACACATTAAACATACAAAATATTCACACATAAACTTTACATATTTTCATTTCTTATATTATTCCCTTATTGATATTTAACACGCAAGAAGGTAAAACTTTCACAAACTTTTAATGTCATATTTATTTACATCAAATTAACAGACAGAGATATAAAATGAAGTTGAAGCTTCTAGCTGTAAAATGACGATTTTTTATATCATAAGATGGCAAACGAGCGAGCGGCCACTTGAAATCGCTGAAATAGCGAAGTGACCGTTGCCCATAGACATACGCAATTGCATATGCTTTGCCTACCTTTCATCGACGGAGGAGATGCACAGAAAGAAAAGATTTTCCCTTTCCATGCATTCTCTCATCCGGAAAGTCCACTTTCACTTCCCATCATTTTCTTATAAGAAAAGGGTGGGAGGGGAAAAAAACTAAATCAGACCTCCGGGACGCACTCTCATCAGACGAAACGCGGAATTGCTTCCACTTCACGCCTGTCTTCTTTGTGGTCATGGTATTTCACCGGGCGAGCGGGGCCAGTTCGTGCGAAGATGTTAAAGCGGGCTCTACCACTTAACAGTGGTAGAGCCCCCTTCCACACAACTTTTGATGCCCTTTTTTTAAATTTTTTCGTATTGAAAAGTAGCCTATGTGCTTTCTCAGGCTTTAGCCTATCTGTGTAACAAATTTTATTTAATCGGAATATTGTGCCGCGTGCCATTTCGCCATCCCTGCTCTAGGCCGCCAAAATACACACTAAATGCATGTACAAACGCACATAACAATTTTTTAACCTCTTGTCAGTCGGATAAATAGAGGGCATCGTAGAAACGTCGTAGAGGACGCTAGAAGGCTGTACGAGAGTGTTTGTGCGAGGTGATAGGTACCTACTACTCGAGTGTGAGTTCATGCCGGCTGTTATCTATCATATTATATACTTTATCACAAAAGTGAAGACGACTGACTTGTTTACGACACAATATTCTTGCATAACGCAAATCTTGCGTTGCCAAGGCCCTCCCACACGATCCACTCCAGTTGTTATTGCACGGCGAGTACACAAGCGAAAGTTAACGCGATACGAGTACATGAGCGTGAAACGCGACGTCCGCCGACACGCCGCGCCGCGTCTTCGCTGTTCACTGCAGCGCCGACTCGCAGCTAGGGATGAGGATAAGGGATAAAGGATGCCGGCCGAGAGTCGAGTCCGCCCGCGCCAACAGGCACATTGGCATGTGGATAGTGGTCTACAAAACGACTCTGTATATGTTATTTGCTTTCAGGCTCCAATCAATCAGTCACCAACAATTTATAAATTATAATTAGACGAACGGAAAGGTCGTCAGCTAAAATTAGAGCGATTTTGATAAGCCGTCATGATGATGGGTTCAGTTTACTTTGTAACGTACTGCCAGCAATATAAGGTAAGTAATTTGTAATCACTCGTTGAACGCTATGGGAACGGGGGAAGCTCTCCGTGACGTAACCTGACATGCCGTCGCAAAGTTGCCTGCCAAATAGGTGAGGAGCGTCACCACCGCGCCCCGCTCCGCCTCTTCCCCCGCGGACGCGCTGCACTCGCATCGGCCGAGAGCGGCGACAAGGTCGCAGGCGGCCGCCGTAGAGTCGACCACTTACATCTCAAATGAATATGACTACCACTAACCTGTTCTTTTCCAACTCGTTATGAGTCGTCCTGGAACAGAAAAGCAGACATTGTAACTTCACGGCACTGAGACATCAACTTTGCACTGATCACGCACACCACTCGGTCACGACACTGCCACTCACTGCCACTCACTCTCAGCGGTGCCAGCCGGCGGGCGGCGGGCGGCGGGCGCGGTCCAGGGCGCCCCGCACTCACCTGCTGCCTTGCGACTTCTTCGTCTTGTGCCGGCGGCCGCGCGCCTCGTCGCCCGCCGGCAGACTCGACGCGTACCCGTGCTCCGCCTCTGCAACAAACAAAACTGCGATTCCGTCAAAATCAGCTGATTAGCGCTCGGCGAAAATAGACGGGAGCCATGTCGACGTGTGCGAGCGAGGCGACTCGAACAAAGAAAACTCAATTCACCTCTGTCCCGCCGCTCGATGTACTCTGCGGCTCGGATCAGGGCGGCGATGCTCATATTTGTCTTATCCGGATGCGGTGCAGGTGTCCACCGACGTCACGCCGCTTTATTATATTGAAAACTATAAATAAAATATTTAATCCGCTCCGAAGTTCACGACTACGTTCCCCGATGTCAAAAACACACTAGCCGTAGCGGAGCGTTGTGGGGCGCGCGGAGTGCGACCTCGACGCTCGGCGGCGCTCGGGTGCGGTCGGCCCCGCGCGCTCTCCAATCGGCGCGCGCCAATATGCCCACAACAAAATACCTGGGTCAATCACGTGAACTTTGTGTTTCCAAACAAAACATTTTTTTCCATGCGCTCAGCAGGTCTCCTGCGACGTGCGAGACATCGCGCAAGTTCTATATTCTTGCATACGTGTTACGTGGCTAATGTGGCGGCATTACACAAGTCAGTGTACACAAAGACGTGCGCGCGGCGGCCGCGGGCGGCGGGGAAAGTTTGATTCGACTACGATTCAATGTCAACATCGCGTTAGGCGTTTAGCGTTACCCTGCAACTCCGCTGCACTGATAACGTAACTGTGTCGGATTCGTATTCGTATTCGTCACTTTGACTATCATGTAAAAAGGATAAAAATAAAAATCAGTGGTACATTTGCGAAACGCTTTTAATATTTAATATTCGTAAGCAAGTCTTTAGAGTTTCGTTAAGAATTATCAGCATACGGATTCGGGCGAACATGACGGGCAGCAGATGTGAGCGCGGCTCCTGGAGACAAACAAACACACATTAGCGAGGACTGCGACCGCAACCTGCGACTACACAACATGTTCACAACGCAACATCGCCGCTTTTGTATTTAAAACATTTTAATAAATAAAATAAAATAAAAATTTACAGTATAAGTATATAGAAGTAGTATTGTTTTCAATGTGGGAAGTCGAGCAGATTTACTAAAAAATTTGGTACTAAGCAATAGTCATTATAGTTCGAAGTGGCTCAAAGACGCGCATTATGTTCAGAAGAACTAAGGTGTACTACACTTGGCTAAACCGAACACCCACTGATCCATAGCTAAGAGCGGATTACCGTCGTACCGGACGACGCATCTGTCGTCTCTGGTACATGCACTACGCCTATGTGATTCTCACTACTTCGAGCCGGAGCTAACACAAGTGCAAGGTAAGTGTTGCAGCGCAGTTGTGGAGGCAAAGCTTTAGTTTCGCAAACATGACTACTTGACTAGTAGGACACGGCCTCAGGTTGCGGAGCGAGTCCCGGCATATCTACCGTATATGCGGCGGGGTGGTGACATAAGATTAGAGCCGTTCGCCGAAATATCTATATAAACTTCCTAGATATCTATGAAAATCCGTGCGATTGCGGCAAAAGCTACATTAGAGACGTTTTAATACCGAGCTCTCAGAGCGCATTTGTTGCATGACGCGGATCCGAGGCCCTTACCTCCGGCACATCTCGTTATGTTAGGTTTGAACGAGTGAAAGCGCATCGTGACAGAAACTTTGTGTAACGTAAGTTACTTGAAGCCATAAAGATGAGACATCGACCGAACTTTAATAGAGATTGGTGGGTCTCTTAGGTTGGTGTCCTTCCCGCGGGAACAAGTGTTGCTGATAGAAGCAAAAGAACAACAATGATGGCGATGAATACGTCATGGACATTACCAGTAGGTTTTGGGTCGTACACACACACACACCGACACACACACGTTAAGGTACACAATAGCGCCGAGCGCGGTGGGCGAGGTCTGGACGCGGGTCTGGAGTCAGCGCGTTGTGTCACAGTGTAAGAGTTCAGTTCAGTTCAAGAGCTGAGGTCGGTATGGTCTATTGTGACACCCTACATTTGCATGCTGTCTTCTTTTTACTTTATAGTGACTAGCTTCATTTCCGACTTGCATTTATTTCGTAAGGTAGTGGGTTTTCGATGTCAGCGTTTCGTTGATTGAAAGCGGAAGAGTGTAGCAGAAGTAACGACTCGCCGTCAATATCCTAGTTTTCCTGTAGTACTGGCTGAGCAGACGGGCCATGGCGCTGAGGAAGGCGCACAGCGTGTGGGGGCGCGCCCCGCACCCCGCCAGCGCGCCCGCCGCCCCCGCCGCGTACCTCAACACCAGCGCCCACTCCTCCTGCACACACATACACACTATAACTAAACCTGCTATTGATATGTACTTTAATTATATATTTCATTTAATTTAATAAATCAAATTAAATTTTAAAAAGCCGACTGTGATACCAAATGATAATAAATAATAGTGTATATTTTATGTTGATTCTAATCAAAGAGTTAACACATTGAACATATGCCGCTTCAATGAAAACTAAACAACTCCACAAAGTCACATGCCACAATGACACATCAGTAACCATCTTGTTACTGTGAATGCATTGAATGCACTACACCTGCCATTTATATAGTCTTGCTAATTTGCATTAAAAATATTTTAATTACCTCTTGAGTTAATAGTGAGAAATCAATATTTGCAATTTGTGGTAGAGGTGGATACGTGCCATCGACAACTCTCTCATTGAATGTCCTTATGATAGTTTCCAATCTGGCGCAGTTGTATAGTATAAATGCCGCACCTGCACATATCACACTTTCCTGATGTTCTACTTCTTACAAATGTCAAAATTGTATAATAACATTCCATGAAGCATTTAAAGAGTGATGATATTAACTCTGCAAATTTATATCTCAATAAAGTAAACATTATTAAGTTATTCATGTAAATGATAATGTAACTTACTCAACTAATTAATGTGATTCAAAGCAGGTTGTCTACAAAATTATATTGCTATTTGATATTGACAGAGGTCACCTTTGCTACATCCAGTGGACACATCAAAGTTAATTTTGACAGCGGAGCTGGGCTGAATCTGCAGCAATTCAAATGTGACAGCTGAGTGGCCAAGGTGCGCTATGTAATCCCTCCAATTGTCTCCCGTGCCCGCTCTCAGGCCATATTTGTGGTGAGCGATCAACATCAACTCATTCTGACGTAATCTAAATGAAGAAACATTTATTCTTAGCTCAAACTCTTCAAAAACCATTTCTTTGATCAAAAAACATTGAGATAATAAGATCCAGAAATGTATATGAATAGATATACTGATATATATATATATATGTGATGCGAAGCTACGCCGCTGTTACTCCGTCTACTCCACACCATCATGTTGGCACTGATGTGCTGATACTTTTCATCTTTCATTTGTCATTTCACTTCCTTTCTTAATGGACAAATCACGCAGCTACTATCGCATTAGAGTAGGCACAAGTGCAAAAGCATATTAAACTCACTTGATGAAATCTTCTCCACTTAAAATACTTTCCTTGACATTAGTATTTGCATTGAGTACAGGTCCACACAGCACGGTTTGCCCTGCGCCGCACATGTTTGATGACTTCGAGGTGACAACTATCCTTGAAGTTTCAGGTAGATTGCCAGAGTTGATGGCAACAAGACTATTGATTGCATGCACTAAACTTTTGACACGCAGTGAGGTTATACTGGCTCCATCGCACGACGGATCGATGCACGCAACATTTTGTTTATTGTTTAATTTCTGAATAATCCAGTGATTATTGGCTGTACAACATTCCAAGCATACTCGTATAGCAGTGCGCCGGTCTATAAACAAATGAACACGATCATTGATGAACTTTACGTTTCTAACAGATAACTTCCATTTGCTTGATGCGTTGATGATATCGGCGGCATCTTTCTTAACACATGTTAGAAAATTGCTGTTATTTAAGTCCGCTTCTTCATTCATATATTCGTGCCACGCTGTGATAGTGTTAGGAAAACTAAAGTCGCCGAGCGCCTGCAGGTTACTAGAATGTGCTTTAATCAATGTTCCCTTGTCATCTCCGTCACGTCCAGTTAGAAAATTATTAAGATTTCTCGTAAACTCCGTCAAAAGATCATTCATATTGAACACTACTTAGTTTTTTTATACACAAAGTAATTATGAAGAAATGTTTTTGAAGATATTTAACATTCTAAAAAATTCTTATTTCACTGCGTTTAACGGAAAAGTATTGTTTTTATATCGCTATCATTGTATTTTATAAGTATTTATTATTTACTGTTTGTTCTGACAATCCTTCACACCAACTCAACCAAAGAGTATAGAAGTAGTAACCATATCATATATATTTTTTTAATTTTATGACCTGGTAACATAGGTAACTATTATACGTGTCATTTAATATAGATTAGTTTCACAATTCATTAGATATGGGTTGAGTGGATCGATTGAGAATTTCTTCGATTTTCGATGTTTTTTCTCATAGAAATTGCAATCGAAAATTAGTCATTATTGTTTTTGAATTACAATATAAATAAAATTGATCTTTATGTAGTTATGAAGGATAAAGTAGGAATAGAAAGAAACAATTTTATTGATATTGTAAATCAAAAACGATAATCACGAATTATCGATTGCAGGTTTTATGAGAACAAACATCGAAAATTGAAGAAATTCTTAAATTTATAGTGTCACCCAAAGAGTATATAAAATATATATTTTTTAACTTAAATATACACTCTTAGAGCCACACTATAATTATGTGATAAAGTGAAGGGCTATTAGAAAATAACGGTAGTTAATGTTATATATGTGGGAATAAATAATATCGAAAATTTTAAGATAATAATTTACGTGTTTTAGTTATTAAAATACCGATCTGTAAAACCGAGTGACCTAAAAACTCGATCTCTACGCCAGCGTAGCGACATAGCGACCCGGGCCGTAAAAAATGATCAATCAACAGTGGCCTTTCAGTGTGTACATCGGTAGCTCTGTGCCTAATCCGTTTCTTTATAATCTAAGGTTATGGCTGACGTCGATGCAACTGATTGCGACGTCGCGTTGATTTGACATTGACAGACACAGATTGACACAGCCAGCCTGTGGAGTGCAGAATGGGATATATATGCAGGTCTATTCATTAGAATATTTATGTCTGCTCCGAATTGACGCGAATTAAAATATTATTCGATCGCAGGGATTATGTTTTAAATTTAAAATGTTGTTATATCATAGTAGGTTAATAGTTCTTTCAATAATATGTCAAGTTATCACAGTGTATTCTGCGGACCATTTGCTTGAAGGTATTTATTGCGGAAAAAACAATTGTTATGAAGTTCTAGGAGTCAGCAGGGAAGCAACAAAAAATGAAATCGGCAGGAGTTACAGACAGTTGGCCAAGAAATTCCACCCGGACATGCATCGCTTGCCCGAGGCAAAGAAGGAAGCGGAAGAAAAATTCAAAGAAATAGCTACGGCGTACGAAATTTTACGAGATGACGAGGAAAGGTCCGACTACGACTACATGTTGGACAACCCGCAGGAGTATTACGCCCACTACTACCGGTACTACCGGCGTCGCATGGCCCCCAAAGTCGACGTAAGGATCGTCATCGCCGTCACCATCTCCGTCATCTCGGTGATCCAGTACTACAGCGCCTGGTCCAAGTACGACACCGCCATTAAATACTTCATGACCGTGCCCAAGTACAGGAACAGAGCTCTTGAAATAGCAAAGGCAGAATCGAAGGAAGCGCAACTCAAAGGCAAAGCTAACAGGAAGAGCAAAGCAGAACAGAAGATGGAGCAGGACAGGGTTATAAGAAGAGTTATAGAGGAAAACCTGGACATCAGAGGTGCTTACGCCAAACCTCAAGTTGTAGATATTTTATGGATTCAACTCATACTCCTGCCTTACACCATTACATACTATGCATATTGGTATCTGAGATGGTTCTGGAAGTTCACAATAATGAAGCAGCCTTATGGAGAGGAAGAGAAACTGTACTTAATACGTAAGTACATGAAGCTGGGTCAGCACCAGTTCAATGCCCTCGAGGATGAAGAGCGGCAGCAGTTCTTGGACGAGGAGCTCTGGATCAAAGATAACTTTTTGGTTTGGAAAGAGCTTAAAGATGAGGAAGCGAAAAAAGCTCTTGCTGAAAATAATAAATACAAACAATACAGGCGGTACATAAAGCAGCATGGAGTCGGCCGGATGACTTTTGATGACTCCTGAACTGAGTCCTCATACACCATATGGGATAAACTAAAGTTGATGAGGGATTTTATATATTGCATTTACTTATTTATGCACCAAATAAAACCAGGAGAGTCCACAAATTGTTACTTTTATTTCATTTATAATTTGTATTCACCTCATCATCAGCGGCAGCGAGGTGCAGCGAGCTGTGCCCCTCCTCTGCATCAACAGTTAAATTTGTGTCATTCTCTCTGTAGGATGTTTGGTGGGACATGGTAACCATAGTTGAACTTTATTAATTTAAAAAGTAGCACCTTTGTTTATAGCTTTATTATAATTATTATATTAGAGAAATCGACAAATTTAAGTTATGCAAGTGTTGCTTTACTCTTGTTTATTACATTATTATTAATTAAATCATTTCACATCACCAGGACAGAAAATGTTGTGTTCCTCCGTCAATGGCGGCTATTCAAATATATATATATCACCAATTATGTTATACAATAGTATTATACAAACTTCATAAATATATTATGTATATTATGTGTAGTGGCAGTGCATCAAATCTAAGTGAAGTTGTTCAACAGAAACACAAATGTATGCATCATAGAAAGAGGCCCATTGCAATATGTAGTTGTTGCTAACATTGAGAGCAATTATATAAAATAGAAATTGAGCTTTTGCTCGCCATTACGAAACTCATCCAGTGTAAATGAAGCATTACAGACGCTTTCACTTCAACAAGCAAATGTTTGCCAACAACTTTTTCACAAATGCCTTGTAGTAAGACTGCGAATTAAACAAAAAGAATGGTTTCACGCAAACTATTACATTTTTTGCGTTGCTTAACATTCGGTGTGACAAAGCGCAGCTTGGATTCGTTCAACGGATTTCCCTCAAGAAATCAACATTTGACACAACATTACAAAACGTCTGCTCACAGAGGCGTGAAATTGTATCTAATCGCTCTCTATTTCTCTATTTAAATGTAACAAGGAGATTCCGTAAAGGGATTGAATATTTTTTCTTGATTATCAATTATTGAATAACAATAAAACAAACGGTGAATATGTCGAGGTTGTAAGAGCTTTGTGCCATTGTTGTTTATTGACCGAATTGGCCGGAAGAATGAATCATCTTTCATTCACACAAGGAGAGTAACTCTGTCTTTTCATATTTAAAATGGAACGTGTGTGAGAGCTACAAGTACAAACACAACTTGTGCTGCCACAGACAGACAGACACGCCGCCAAACTAGTACCAACTGAAGACATACGCAGTCATGTAACGAATAATCATTAATCGATCGGGCAACCAAGTTTTGAAAGCGAGCCGCTATCATATCTGCTTACTCATAATCATAGGGCAATGGTTCAACACGTCGAGGAAGAATCTAACCCACGAGTCATTTTAAAACTTATAAGAAGTGTCAGGTTGAGGTGGAGGAGGTTCCAATGCTGGCGCACAGAGATTGCGGGGCGCGGGGTGTCGCACCTAATCTTTGCTTAACTTTATAAAAATATCGTGTACTTTTTGTTATTTTATTTTTACCTCTCGAATGTAGAAACGGAAGTAGTCATTATTATTGTGAATGATAATATTATAATTATGCGAGGAGTGAGATCTCGGCGCACGATAATACTCTACTCATTTTGTACATATACATAAATTAGTTATTTCATGTACACCGATATTACACTCTATCTGTATTTACACAAAACATTCATTTAAATATACAAATTGTTCATCGCTCTCTCCCGCCCCCCCGCCGCCTCCGCCGCCCCCCGCCGCCCCCGTCGCAGGTTTCACTTCAGTGACGTTGCAATGTTTGATCACCTCGAGAGGTGGTCAGGGGGCGGGGCCGGGGGCGGGGGCGTGGCGCGCGCCCTCACACGGGCGTCTCGTGGTCGTTCTCCTCGATGCGGCCCAGGCGCCAGGCGTTGGGGTCGGTCGCTGCGCAAACAAACACATCTTATTGCGTCATATATGAGAACACTTATTATTTAAGCGTCTTAATTAAATGATTATTCATTAGTAATAGTCACGATATTAGGGTTGTTTAATTGTGAGGCGGAGCCGGGGAACTGGTTATGAAATCGCTCGTGACGCCCGCAAGAAATGTGCGAGCTGCATTAGTGCTATTGACGTGATTCAATATAATTATATTATTTTTACGTTATGTTCAAAGTGCTATTTAGAAATACACAAGAATCTTTGTGGGGGTGGGGTGGGGGGGGGCGAGGTGCGGCGAGCAAGCGTTGCTGTGAGCGATCTCCGTCGTCGGCGTGGATCGTACTGGGCCACGAGGAGCAATGAATTACAAATACAAACACAGATGTTCAGCCAAATAATAATGTGCAATACAAAAAAAAACACAAAATTACCTGAAAATTGTAGTTCCTCCAAACATGCTTCGGGAGAGGGAATACGCGGGGGAGTGTGCGGGGAGCGAGTGGGGAGTGCGCGGAAGGCTTTCGAGGAGGAGCTGGAGTACGTGGAGACGACAGGGGCGAGGTCAGTGCAGCGAGCACATTAGCGCTCTTCAGCTAGTTTTTGTTTCAAAAAATTTACCCAAAAAAAACTTTGATTTATATAAAAAAAATTGTTGGAAATCTTCCTTGGAACGATAGTTTTGATCATGTCTCATGATGTTGTTTGGAAAATGTGACGATTGTATGAGATAAGCGGAGTGCGGAGGCGCGCGATGTGAGATGCGAAGGCGTCACACTGGTTCGTACACTACCTACACTACACTAGGAGAGGACAGTCGTATTTACAGAAAGCGAACAAGAAACATTCATAAAATATACTAATAATTAATACTCGTTACAGAACATTACTTTTTACATCTATTTTTTATTATTAATATTAAAGTCGATAAAAATAATAGAGAATAAGAATGTTTTGTATGCGATGCGGGTAACGGAGTGACATATGAGGCCACATACAAACCTACACTAATACATGTATATCTATTTACTGTACTCTGTGTGTGTGTGTGTGTGTGTGCGAGCGAGAGAGAGAGAGAGAGATGTTTCTATATCTAAGTCTAATATTACTTTAATATTTCGCTCACAAAAATATGAATCTTAATAGTTTAATAGATGCAAAAATAAGTAAGCAATGTACTTGCGTATGTAATGTGTTATATTACAATATAAGGATAATAATAAGTTAAATAGTTGTATCAATTTAAGACCGACTCCATAATATAACAGCGAGTCTAACAACACCCTGGTGTATTATAAATACAATACGGACAAACTACCTATATACAAATTTCTATATATATTTATTTTAAAAAACGAGATTCGTGTCAGGTAAGAGTAGATATGGCTCGAGAGTGGAGAGCAACGACGGAGTTGACATGTGCTGTTGATATAAGCTATTAGGGTGAAGCGCCTCCACTTTCATAAACAAGAAAAAATCATTAACCGTGGGTTTATAAGTCCAAACTCTGTGTATAAAACATATCGTCATCCTAGTCATCATCTTTGACAATACAGATAAAAGAAACCAGGACTCAGAAACCCACGGTAAATCGTTTTTATGTAATTTATTGCGCATCACTATGATAACAATGCAAACATTATCATGTACAGTCAGGGATTGTACAGCGATGTAGCCGAGTGCGAGTACACAACACTACAACGAGTGGAAGTGTTGGGGAAGGGAGGTGAGGCGGGGGCG